ACGCCACAGTATATCGCGAGCTACTGCTCGAGGCATACTGAGACGCCGCAGCTGAAGCGGATCCCGACAATTATGTCTGGATCCGCCCAGCTGCGCGAGTGACAGCTGGCTCTGCCTATCTAGAGGCAGAGCCAGCTGTACCCGCCGCCCTCCCTGTCCGATCCGCCAGTCAGTGCTGGCGGATCGGAGGGGGGAATCCAGCCCCTCCCCTGTCACGGCAGTTAGCTGTGACAGGCTCGAGAGGTGAGCAAACGCCGGTATGTGTTCACTCACTTCTCGATCTATTGAGCCGTCACTTCAACTACACTGGCCAGAACAAGTGTAAATAGTGGAAAACAAAAACTAAAAGAAGAAAACTAATGCACCCGCCACATCTAATGATCAGTAAACTGCAATATATTACATTTTTGTTCTTGGGTTTAGATACACCTGGTTCCTTGGGACAGGCATTGGTCTATGCAGACACGATGATGAGTACTATATTGTCTACAATAGGAACATTGTTGTACACAGTACTGTGTTGTCTTACTCAGTGGACAGTCATCTCAAGTTGCATTTCCAATTCCATGGAGATGCTTTAGTCATAGACATTGTTATATTTGAATACACATTTTTATTGGAAGCGGTGGCTGCATAAGAAATGTGACCCTAAACAATAACGGCCAAATTTTTAATTCTTAAACATATTAATTTCCTCACTCTGCTATAGAGTCATTATAGTATTTCATATACAGATTATCAGTTTCTTAATGTTGTTGCTATCTGTATGTTACAAGATAAGCCTATCTGAGATTACACTGAGACAAAAAGCACAAATGTATAAGTAACAATGTAATATAGCTGCCCTACAAACATACAAAGTATACCAAGTAACAACAATGTTTTTAAAAAACAAAGTCACTTTTCAGTAAGATTATTTTATTTAGCTAACCACATTCCCTTTAAACACGGCCACAACGTAAGTGGTATGCCTGAAGACTCTTCCTGAATGGTGACCACATTCATGTAACTCCCCACCCACAGTTTTTGAGGCTGGAGTGGGTGTTAGTTGAGCATAAGGCCCTTTTATCAGGTTTATTGTTTAACCCCATAAGGACCCTTTTGGCCGTTTTTTAGTTTTTTGCACACATGATATAATCCGCATTATAGGCCTGAAAATTACGTCAAACCCCCAAAACTATATATATTTTCTGAAAGCCAACACCCTGTAGAATAAAATGATGGCAGTTGCATATTTTTATGCTGCACGATATGGGCACACCTCTTTATCAAACCCACACATTTTTTTAAAAATGCACTTAAAGGAGAACTATGAGGTGAGTGATAGGTAGATCGGGAAGTGAGAGAACACATACCGTCACTCACTTGACGATCATCTCCCTGCAGAGAGCGGTGACTGTCAGTCACTGCTCCCCGCAGGGATTCTCCCCTCCCCGCTCCAATCCTCCAGCGCTGAGGGGAGAAACGGATGGGGGAGGGGGCAGGCATAGCTGGCTCTGCCTGTAGATAGGCAGAGCCAGTTGTCACGCAGGCAGCTGGGTGGATCTCGACAGCATTGTCGGTATCCGTCCCAGGTGTGGCGATCTCTGTATATAGTGAGCAATAGCCCACTATATAATGAGCTTTGGGTCACTGGAGGAGGTTAGTATATGTCCTGTGACCCTTAAGAGAACTATGGGATAAAAAGGTTACTCCATAGTTCTCTTTTAAGTTAATTTTAGTGCCCCAAAAAACAATACCCAATTTTTTTACAATATAAAAATTGAGGTTACTAAAAGTAACTAGACACCCAACATGCCCAGGTTAAAAATTGCATGCGTCCGTGAAATGGCAACAAATTTCAGTACCCCAAAAAGTCCATAGACAACACTTTAAAAGCACCTACAGGTCATCATACCCAACATATGTGGCGTGATCTATGTTTTTGTACGTAGGCAAATCCGATGCATGTTTGCATGACTAAGTGCACTCTCGCGGGGACTTTAAACAATTTTATTAAATTAGCTTTAGATTTATTTTATTCTATATTATTTTTTAAAACTTTTTTTTTACTTTACTTTAAATGCTATCACATACTGATAGCATTTACTGTGATAGCATATTGGTGGTGCCATTTCCTCTGTAAGGTGACACTGGGGGTCCAAAAGACTCTAAATAACCTATTGAAGTGCAAATCGCACTTCAATAGCTTATAGCTGGGCTTCAGGTGCCCGGCAATGACAATTCAGGGACCGGAAGTGATGTAATCTGCATCGCTCCCGGCCAATAGAGCAGGGAGGAGATCGGTGCATGGAAGTTTGCCGCTCTCCTTCCCAGCTTCCCGCGGGCACCCAATATGCCGGTCCTTGGCCCGCAGGAGGGGCAGTGGAGCCTGGAAAACGTGGCTGGGGTGTCAGGCTGGGGTCTCGGGTGGAGGGGCGGGCACTTTACTGGCCCATCCACCAGAATCACTTCTATTGTAAAGCCGACAGCCGGCTTTACAATTGTAAACAGAGTCTGTTTAAACGGGCCCGCTGCCAATAATGTACTATCTACGTCACTAGTCACGATAGGGTTAAACAAAGAAGGGGATGGCTTCATAAATAAGACCATTTTGCAGAGTTTGGGTCTGCTTTAACCCTTTTGCTGCCAAAGCCATTTTTGCTAATTTTTTGCATGCATACTAAAGATTGAAGAACTCCAGGGAATTTTTTTGTTAACCGTTGCAGTGGAGCTACCCCCACACTGCTCGTCTGGGTCTAGGTTAAAAAAAAAAAACTTATACTCACCCAAAGCTCCGAGCCAGCTTCTTCTTATACCAGTTCTTCCAACATCTCTCCCCCTCCTCTGCAGCAGTCTAAGGTCCTGTTGATCATCAACGTCTATAGACATGAGGATGCAGAAGAAGATTACAATGCTGCAGGGAAGGGGAGACAGACTAGAGGGAGCGCTGTGACAGCTGGCCAGTTCAGAGGTTTGGGTGAGTATAACTTTGATATTTTAGCACCTAGACACAAATTCCTGGAGTTCTTCTTTAAATGCACTAGTTAGGCCTGGAGATTACTTAAACCCCCGCAATCTTTATATTGTATATTTTGTGAAAGAAAAGACCTTGGAGAATATAATTGTGGTAGTTGCAATTTTTTATGTCACACATTATTAGCACAACTGTTTGTCAAACCCAAATTTTCAATAACAAATGCACACACGCACAATATAATACATATTACTGCTTTCATATATAGGGTGGGGTGGGGGGAGGGTGAAGCAGGTTGTTTACCACAACAGTAGAAGTGATTTTTTTCTAAAGATATGGATAAACAACGCGATTTAACAGCCTTTGAACGTGGGATGATTGTTGGCGCTCAAGCCATGGAGCGAGTATCAGCAAAACAGCAGAATTCGTTAAATATTCAAGAGCAGCTGTTGTTAAAGTGTTTAAAGACTGGACTGTCAGCCGAAAATCTGGGTCTGAATGTGCGAATTGTGGCCGTAAGCGACTAGTCAATGTTAGGGCAGAACGGAGAGTGGCAAGACTGGTACAAGACAACAGAAGGGCAACAGTGCAGTGTCAGATTCCTCGCATCACCTTTCAACATCTTCGTGGAGTCACGAGGCGGCCCAACGAAGTCATCTCGTGGCCCAAACGAAGTGGTTTCTTAAATCAGACTGTCCCCCACGGATTTCACAGATTTTGGATACACAGTATTCTAATATGGTGTTACAGTGATAATCATACTATTTAGTCCCTTACAAGGTTTTTTTGGAGGGAAATAAATCTTGATATAACATATATAATTTCCACAGAACGCTATTTAAGTTAAACTTAATGAAGTGACGTTTCAGTATCATTCTTTAGCCAACCCTGTTTCCTAGAATTCCAAGACATTTTCCTTTTTCTCAACCAGATTCCTTTGAATCCTTATCCCCCTTCTCTTGTATTTGCTAATCTGCCTCTACTAGTCAATGCATGGCCCCGGAGATACTGTATATTACTGGAATCCTTCCAAAGTCTTTAAGGAGGAACTTCACCTGTTATGCTGGCTACTTACCAGAAAACATACTAATCTACCCAGAGAATCCAGCGTTGTCCTGCTGTGATCTGTTGATATTCTGCCACAACCCTGGCTGTGCCGCCATCTTTTTTTCTGATGTCAAGGGGAGCTGGCTGTCTCTTCTGGGATTTGTATCTGGCCCCACAAGATGCCCACCGACCAATGTGAGTCCCCGCTCATGCAGCCTTCTGAGATATGTGATAGGGAGATCCCAGAAGGCTGCAGGAGCAGGGACACTTCATTTTTGTCTAGGTGAGAATGGCAGGAGGGAGGCAATTCTTGCTAAAGAAAGTGAAAACGTATACTACAAAAAGCTAAGCACAAAGCTTAGATCTGGAAAGTGAAGGAAAGTTGTGTTTCTTGCATTAAACATTTTCCCTTTTATGAAATACATTCATAGGGCATACTTGAGGGTTTCAGGGAGTATGAACTTCCTTATTGCCATACTTCAGATGTACATAGACATATGATGATGAATGCTGCCTGATTCAGCTTCTTTTGGTCTGGCTGGTGACCATGCTTTGGTTCTGACCATTGGCTTTTAATTCCATTGTGATGAATCAGAACTTGGTTCCCAGGTATCTATTAGCACCTATCTCCTCCCTCCACCAACAGGAACACCCTGCAATGAACAAGTTGGCTGCTCATCCTGGGTGTTTGGCCCCTTGTCTGCCTCCTCTTTTCCCGCCTTTCCTCTATGACCTTCTGGAACATTGTTGGTATCTGCACACGTCAGCACACTCAGTTATTGGCCACCTCATCTGACCTTCTTCCACTGTCAAACTCTCAGGCATTGTGTGTACAGTCTAGCTTCTGCCAGCCTGTTTAAAAACCTGAAGGAACCAGAGTATGGTGCGCACACATAAACTGATAAAGTTAAAGTGTGCTGGAGCAGCTGTCATTAAATCTAAACAAGTAGGCAACCTTTATCATTTAAATACATTATTGTGTACATGGCGTAATTACCTCCTGATGGAAATCCAGCTGCTTTTTTGATGGCCTTCACCCATTCCTCCATCTCAGTCGATGAACCAGCCATAAGGGTGTAGCCATCTGGAACAGGCTTGTTGGGGTCAAGAGATAACCCTGTGAATGTAGTGAAAAAGAGCAATAAACGATCAGTAAAATGAGCAGGAGTTCCGGTAATAAAGGAGCTTCCCTCAAGACCATCGTCTTGAAATTCCAGCATGTTGCCACAGGAAGAAGGTGTTCCATATGTTCATATGTGTTATTTTGACATACACTATATATTTAAAAAGCATGACGTTGATTTTGTGCTGAAGCCCATATGAACGTTCAGTTTAAACAAAAAGTGTGCAAAGTCTTATGCTTTGTTTTACTGAAATCCAGTGAATTGAAGGGACAGGCCAAGGAAAGTCAGGCTGGGAAGGAAAGTGCTGATTTTATTCAGCCAGGAAATGAGCCGAACTCTATCTAACTTGCTGTAGATTGAAATGAAGCAGTATTAGCACATAGATAACCAGACAGGAGGAAGCACTCACTGGCTTCTAAAAGCTAATAAGAAGTATGGTGGTCAGATCTCTTGACCCAGGAGCACCCTGATCCAATTACCTGCCATATAAATTATGCAGGAGTTTCACATTTAAGATTTTCTATATACACTTTATTGTGGAGAGCTCATCAATATGAATGAGACTCTTCTTGCTGCAGAACAGGAAGTGATGCTTAACAGTTACAGAGAGCACAATCAGTTACCAGAACAGGAAGAGCTCACCCCTGGCGTCTCTCTGGAGTCACTGGGTTCACGTGTATCCAGCAAAAACTGAATATAACTATTGGGTGGTTTGACACTTTAATTACTTAAAGTGATATTAAAGACAAAAGGGTTTTAAGCTATTTCCAATGCTCATTAAATCACTTACAATGGATGCTGCTCCTTGATGTTTAAATGTTTTAGTTTCCTGCGGAATCAGCTAGTCCCCTGACCACTGACCCTAATATCATGTTTTAGGGTGGCTCCTTTCTCTTTTAGGGTCCTATATAGCTACCCTTGTGTGTGCTAGTAAGCTGTATGTGTCTCCACAAACACACATGGCAAGGCAAGACGCTCACGAAAGACGCCGCATTAGCGTGTCACATCAGACAAAACGTTTGGGGCTGTCTGTTACAGCCAAAAGTTTGCGGTGAGTACGCACTCTGAAAGGGGGATGTATTGGCAAAGCACTATTTAAACTACCGAACACTGGAAGGCTCTACTACCCGTTATTGAAGTGGAGCTGATTATCACAGATACTTTTTTCTGTTCACATATACTGTATATTTTTTTGTTCACATATATTTTGTGTTGCACAATGATAGAATTGCACAGTAAGGACTAAGCCCTATTTATTTGCGATCTCACACTAAAAAGGTGAAGGATTTTATGGATTCATTTATTCCATTGTAGTGAGGATGGCACAAAGGATTGATACCGTTTAATAAGTCACGGTTTATATACATGATTTAAACCTGTAGAGGGCATCTACAATAATAGAGTTCATTTCTACAACATTATATGGTATTTTTTGTTTCACATGCCACTTGTTGTTTGCACCATAGTGATATATTCAATCACAGGTTAAAAACACTTTGCGTTTATACACTTGTATTTCATTTTTCAACATTTACTGATTGAGTTATTAGCGCTGTATACTCAGTTGAAACATCTTCAGACCCAGTGGCCTATAGTACAGCAGCTTCTAATTAACTCCACCAACACTTTATAGATCACCCATTAAACGTGGCTTTAAAGTGACATTAAACCCTCAGATTTTTTAACATAAAACAATACTGTAATGTGTGCCTTACTGTAATCCATGGTTGTTTCCCTTCTCTTTGCTGCTCTTCCTTTTAAATTTGTATCTGTTCTCATGCTGGGCAGAACTTCTGTTTTGCAGCAGACTGCCTTGTCTCAGGAATGGATACACGGTGTCTGTGTATACGTTTCTATAGGCTTGTAACCTGAGCCAGCACTACAGAAAGAGGCCCTGAGCTGAAAAGGGAAGTTCTCCCCAAACATGAGAAGACATGAGGATTTAAAAGGAAGAGCAGCAAAGAGAAGGGAAACAACCATGGATTACAGTAAGGCACACATTACAGTATTGGTTTAGGTTAAAACATCTGAGGGTTTAATGTCACTTTAACATTTATACACCAGTACACTTTGTATCGGTGGTTTGACACGATACATTTTAGGGTTGTCACATTTGATTCAGATCAATGGTATCCAATTTTGTTTTCATTGTACCATATTTACTATAATGTGGTAAAAGGCACAATTTATGGTTTATATTATACTTTTGATTTAATGATATTTATGCTCACACTTTTTTTTTAGAAAAATTGAATTCCTAGCGCTGCTCATCCAGTTATATAATATTACTTTAACCCTAGTACAAATGACAACTACATTATTGGAGAATACATATAGAGAGGAATTTATCAAAACTGGAGAAGGCAAAATCTGGAGCAGCAGTGCACAGCAACCAATCAGCTCTCTCATTTAAAATGTTCACATTTTAACTGAACAAACTAAAGAGAGAAGCTGATTAGTTGCCATGGGCAACTGCTCCAGATTTTGTCTGCTCCAGTTTTGATAAATTCCCCTCTATATGTTTTCAGACCGTCATATTTTATTCAAATCTCCGGCCATGATCCTTACTGTCCTCTTGCTTACTTACTGAAAGGTCACTTGCTATTTTCACATGTACTGGCAACCACAGGGTTATTACTTTTTATTGTAATCTAAGTGTGAAGTTTGACCTTCACTGAACTATTAAAATCCAATCCGCAGCGAAAGACAAAATATGTATTCCCCAACAGGCAGCTTGTCTGGACAAAGCACAATTTATTTGGCAGCTTTGCCAAAAATGTGCCCTTTTAATACTCCTTTTATTTGGGGGGGTAAACTTGAGACAATTGTCGTCACTGATGCAGAGCTGGAAGGAACGTGTTTGGCTCTAATATTTCAGGCAGTTAGTTGGAGCTGAGATGCAATTTACAGTTATTACTTCTGACATTTATTTAGCATTTGTGCTGTCATCAAAAGGGTTAATCCATAATACAATACAAAGTACAATGATGATGTGTAAAGTGCTGTAACCCACAGTAACCAATCAGGAATCATCTCTGATGTAATTGCATTCAATGAAAAAGACCCCGCCAGGCCTTTAAACGAATCAAAACACCATTTCCATGCAAGAGAAGTGTCCCAATGGCCCGTGTGTCCTACCTCCCCTCCGTTACAGCTTCCCAACCTCTGTCAGTCTTTTCGGCATGCTAAACTTTCAGGAATGTCCAATGTCTGTGTCCTCACCCTTCCCCGACTCTGGTTTCTTCCTCCAACCCTATTGACAGGGTCTCCTTAACTGTAACCTGAAATCTGGTTGCTGGGGCTTACTGCACTTTGCACTTCAGGTTCGTTTTATGAAATACAGAATATACGAAAACTCTTTATGTGCAATACTGATCAGGAATACAAGGCACAACATTTGAATCTGTGGCCAAGACCCTATTTCTGGGGAACTTGCAGGCCCCTGAAGTGTTCTGGGACTTCAGTTAGCATGCAATTTCCCAAAGATGTTATAACACAGGATGCCGTTAGTCTCCATTCATCATATCCAGTACTGGGAAATGAAAGATAGACCATAGAAAAATGGAGGCATTTTGTACAAAACTTTAATGCTACCTACGCTGATGTTACCAGCAACTGTTGGTGGAAGTGGAATGGCAAGTGGAACTGCCACATAGAGAGACCTGATTAATGGTCACAGCAGAGAAAGCCACCATCCACATGTACACCCACACACAAAAGTGGAAGTCACCTGTTCTGTTTTTAAAATAAGAATCTGTACAGAAAAGGCTGCATGTGTTGAGGTCAGTGGAAAAAATGATGTAAGACAACAAAATGCCCTGCAAACTATAAAACAAGACTTAAGACCATTTCCTTTATAGTTATAATTTTACACACAACACCCATATGCCTTAAGTTGGGTATACACAGAATTTTGTTCCAAAACAGTCATTTTCTGAGCATTTGTTGTACTTTCTAATAGTTAATATGTCCAAATTGACGTTTGTTTTTTAACTTAGTGGTGAAAAAATGGAAGGAGCAGGGTGGAAAATGTTTCTCGAATGAATTAAATTCTAACATTTAATGTGGATTTCATTGTGGAAGCTCCAATAATTCCAAAATAAAATGTTAAAACCAAAAGAAACAACAGATGCCAAGTCTCAATAATTCAACATTGTTGAATGATCTGATAAGTACGAATGTTCATCCGAAATTCTAACCACGTATACTCAGCTTTATTCTGAGCCTGCACACATCCATTCTGCCCTATAGGTTTACACTTGGATAAAACCAGTACCATAGTTCTTTATATTTGTCTTTGCTGTACTTTACTATTGGCAGAAAAAGACATATGGGTTCAAAGGAATAGAAGATTTTCAATTAGCTTAATAAATGAGGTGGAAAGGGGATATGTACACAGACCACCAACAAAAATGGTGCATTGACCGCCAGTGTAATGGGGGTCATTGGCACTGGCTTCCAATGTAATGTGTGTCACCGACACTGACTACCAATGTATTGTGTGCCATCGACACTGGCTATCAATGTATTGCGTGGGACTGATACTGGCTACCAATGTAATGCGTGTCACTCACGCTGGCTACCAATGTGGCTACGCTGATCATTAAATAATATCATGGTGGAAAATGGTACACATGTGTTATAGTTAATCTCTTGATCATATCACTTGTATAGTTATGCAATGTAATTTTTTTCCCTTTTTCTAAGAGTTTAGCAAGATGGCAACATATTTTTAAACAATGCCTGGAAAATAAAGGAAAAGAAAGACCTACATTGTGATTTTTTTGTTCTTTCTGCTTTTAAAATTAAGAGAAATAGGGTAAAAAAAGATAGTCAGTGCACATACACACATATCCATAATAAAACATACATATAATTACCATCAGTTATGGGAATACTCTTGGAATTATCTCCAAGGTTAGACCAGTGTGCAAAATTTAGCCAAGCCCTATGTTTTATCCCAGATTTTACACACATCGAAAGATGTCTAATTTGTAATTTGGGTCGAATTTACCACTTTGTCCTATTATATCTGGAAAATTTATCAATTGTTTGCTAAAGAAGCCTCTTTATCCTGCAAAAAAGTGTCATAGTTAATTAACAAATATTTGTTATGTCTGGTATATACCAGCCCTTTATTAAAACTTACCTGGAATAATGTCAAAGATGTATTTCCCCACGTCATCAGGGTTACAGGAGACCTCACTAACTGAGCTTCTGGGTAAAAACAGAAAGCCCTTGAAAAAAATAAAACAGATTTAAGATAATAAATATCTTATTGCGCATTATTAATCACTGTATCAGCTAGAAGAAAAAAGAATAGAAAAAAAAGTTGTGTGATCAAAATGTAAATTTTCCCTAAATATCAGGAAATTTAGGCAATATGTCACCTCTTTGACAAAATTGGAGTCAATTGGGAAGACAACATTTTTAGTGATTTTTCTTGAGCATTAGGGAAGCTCCAGAAATTTTTGACCCATTCTTGTGCCAAAAATGGCCCCTTGACTCATTATTTTAAGGTAATTTAACAAAACATTAAAGCCACATCACCCAAAAATGATCAAATACACACAGAAAATGAAAACATACAAAATAACACTAGATGAAATAAACTAAACTACCATATACCC